CTTACTGTTAATTGAGTAAGTACTTGTTCTAAATAAGTCGATTGTTCTTTATATTTTTGTTTTAAATTTTGTAATTCATGAGCATATTTTGCTTGAGATATTTGCAGTTGTTTATTCTAGACGAAAGAATTTTAATTAAATATTAAATAGGAAAAAAAAAGATCTTTTACTTCATTAATAAGACGTGAATCATTAGACATATGTTCATCATAATTACTGCTAATAGATAAATTAGTTTTCCAGTATGATTCAGTTAATTGATACATTTGTTCTAGAAGTGCAAGACATTGATTAAGAGACTTTAAACGATGTTCAAGCCATTCCATCGATGGTTCACCAGTTGATGAAGTCTAATTAAATGGAATAAGTTTAATGTATATGAAAAAATTAAATTTAACGTACAGATTTTGATCGAAGTTTTTCTTGAATTTTAATTTCAATTTCTTTTAATTGAATTTTAATATTCGCGATTAATCGTCGAAGATTTTCATGATTTTCTAATTCACCAATAATATAGGATTTGCCAAAATCTTAAATAAACAATAGGATTAATTATATTTGAAACAGTTTTAACATACTGATTTGTTCAGTTTCTATAAGAAAATAGAAGTAAATATATTTTTTCTTTTTCATAAAAGTTATTTATCTACATACGAAATTCTATAGTTGATGCTCCAATTGGTCTTGAACGTTTTTCTTCTGTTATATTTGTAAATGAATAATTTTCTGTTGCAACTGATCCTGATGCATCAATTAAACGAAGATCAGGATATGAAACTCCACGACCAGAAAATGAAAATTCACGTGGTGCGCGTGAGAGACGAATATTTTCATCTAATTTTATTTGTAATTCATTTTGTCTATTTATACTTCGTTCAAGATCTTGACGAAGACGACGCATTTCTTCTAATAATTCTGACAGATCATTTGTTTGAATCGATATTCCCGTAGTACCGCTACCACCTAAATTTAACAACAACAAAAAAATAATAATTCAATGTAATCAAATTTAATTACGAGAATTAATTTGTTTTTCTAATAAACTAATTTGTTTTTCATAATGATTAATTAATTGTACTTTATTCGTTAATTCATTTTGTAATAATTTTATTTCATTATGTAATCTAAAAAAGTGAATTTTCGGTATTAATATAATTAGATTCAAAATTCAAAAGTTAACCTATGATTTTGATCTTGTGCTTGATCAAGTTGAATTTGTGTAGATTTTAATACATCAATTTGTAAATGTGATTGATAATGACCATTGCCTTTACTATTATTGTTTCTTAAACTAAAATTTGCGATAAGAAAAAAATTTTGGTAATACTAAATCAATCTGAGCATTGTCTTGATGCTAATACATTAGACATCTTCCATTTGTAAAAAACATTATAAAGCTTTTATCCTCATTGATTTCATGTTTTAAGTAAAATATTAGTTCAATAGAATCGATTCATTCCAAATGAATTATTCATTTGCAGTAGAATGTTACAATCGACAGGTACGAAAAACTTTGATATAAACTTTCTATATATAATCCGCTACCTCTCCATTGCAGACACTTTTTCCAGCTAATTAGTGCAATATGTCCGCAAAATAGAATCCGGAGTAGAGAGGCAAAAATGACCGCACGTTAGAAAACATCCGCAAAGTGGAAATGGGGGAGGAGAGAAAAAGTGTCCACATTATGGAATGACGAAAATATTTATTATGTGATATAACAATTGAATCTTTATGTATCTTGACTATAGCATTACACATTTTATGTGTACAAACCGAAAGTTCGGTTCCATTCTTATTTGTTCGTTTTAACCTAAAATGATAATCTTTGAACATTATTCCATTGTTGCCAGATTGTGTGGTAATTGTAAGAAAGCTATTATCGTTTACAATCGACATTTTCTTATAATTTATCGAATTTTATTTCGCTCACTTTAGCTCATAGTACATATTAAACACGATCTCGATAACACGTTTTATTCGACGCTGTTTAGCTCGAATGATATAATATCCATTCTAAATTGGACTTATCTCGACTAATCATATTATTTTATCTATTTTCGATTGTTTCCATAATGCGGACATTTTTTTTCTCTCCTCCCCCGTTTCCACTTTGCGAATGTGCGGTCATTTTTGTCTCTCTACCCGGATTCCGCTTTGCGGACACTTTTTTCCACCAATTAAGAAAAAATGTCCGCAATCAAGAAGCCACGATATAATCAGTTTGCTTACTCGTTCAATTGTTTGGTTAATTGTCTAATTTGTTCATCTTTATCATTAGTTTGTCGTTGATAGTCTTGTTGTAATGATATATAACGTGCACTAAAGGATAGAATTGCATAAATATATTTTTAATCGTAAATATCTTACTTGTCCACAGAAATATCAGTTTTAGTCGTTGAAGTTTCTAAATAAAATTGAAAAGAATTAAAAAATTTTATTTCAAATTATTTAAGTGAATGGTTAAGATATAAAAGTGGAACATGTAAACATCAATTCTTATATCTGATTTACTTTTCATAGCAAAAGTATAAAGCAGCATTATCAGTAAATAGATATATGAAAGAAGTGAATTATTTATAAGACAACAACAAAAAAAGAAAGAAAGATTGATAATCACAGAAGTGCTTTCAAATCAATGTGTATGTACAATACATAAGAATAGATTCTCTCCTTCTGTGTTCATCTAGAAAAATTTATGAGATAAAAATATTATAAGAAGAATAAATACTTTCATTTTTATAACATACTTCTTTTTTTATCATGTGTAGGTATAATATCAATATCTAAATCGATTATAAAATCAGTCATTTTATTTTGTTTAAATAAATTTGTTGGATGAGAATTATGTTTCTAAAAATATAAATGTTTACATAAGTTAAGAGTAAGTACGTAAGGATAAAATAAACATTTTGTTGAAATCAATCAAATAAGTATGAGTATTTTTAGATCAAGTTAAGCGTGCTCCAAATTTGGAGTTTACGAATGTCTAAATTGTCGTTGAAAACTGTAATCCTCTGTTTTTGATCGCTCTAATGGATACTCTGAACTATACTGAAGAAAAAAGAAGCACACAGTTATAAACTGCAGTTTGTCGAATAACTTGACCGTATTTTTATTATTATTATTTACTTTTACGAACAGCACTATCGCGGACCTTTTAAAACTGAAGGAGTTGGCAAAATATCCAGTCGAGACTCTAGGGGATCGCCTACGGATTCATGACAGCTCTGCTTACAATCTGTTTTATTTAAAGACCCGATTTTTTTCTTAGATTATTCAACAAACCTTTGATGACAATTGTTCGAATGCTTTATTTTTTTCTTCAATATGATTTTGTTGTATTCTTATAACATTTTCATATTCTTGTAATGTTACTTGATTGATTTGATTAGTTTTCGAAAGTTTTCTAAGTTCATTTTTATAAGTATCAATAAGAAGATTTAAATTCTAAAAATATAAATTCTAAACTTCATTTTTGTTTTATTTTTAAAATTACCTTATTTTCTTCAGTTAATTTATTATATGTTGATGATTGAACTATATCTGGTGTACTTATACGAACACGTATTTGTAATTGTTGAATATATTTATTTTGTTTATAGATTATTTCTTGAAGTTCTTCAATATTTTGTATATTATCGAAAATATTAATATCTTCATTTTTTTTAACAATTTTTGAGGATTTCCAATTAGAATCTTCTTCACTATATCGACGTTGTCGATTCGAAGAAGAAGAAGCATCAATTAGACCTAAATAATATATATTATTCGATATTTTCCAATTGAATCTTTTCATAAAAAGCGAAAGTAAACTAATTTAGTAAAAAGCAGTTCCAAATTATTATAGAAAAGGCTATTCTAATTTTTCTACAAAGATATTTTCTATTCTAAAACAAACATTATTTTCATCCACAATAGATATATAACAGTTTTAATTTGAAGAACTGATTCATCGAGCCTTTATTGTACTATCAAGGTGCTAGCAATCGATTTGCTTAAAAATTAATTTGATTCTCGTATCACGGAAGTAATCATTGTATCATTAAATAATGTTTCTAGGAGTGCAGAAGTGTGTAATAACTGAGTATTATCAACTAATATGATACAGATTTATTGAATTTGATCGTAGCTCTTTATCTTACTTTGAAACCCACGCGTGACTATCACTCTATATTTCTTACTAATTTTGCTTTGAAGCAGTCGAGAAATCCGAAAGAATTAGGACTCTACTTCTTCTTATAACTAAAGCTAGAATTTTTTCAATACGAGAAATATTAACAGAGCGATTGCCTCTAATAACTCTATATACATTTGCATCTGAATATTTTGGCATAGTTTCAAATCAATGCTATTCAGAAAGAAATATGGCTAGAGTTTGATCAATACTATCTACACAATCAGATAATATAATAAAAAATAATATAGCTACCAACCAGCATCGTATAATAACTTGTAATATTTCATTGAATCTCGATAATAAGTTTTCGATTGATTTTTACATTGTGCAAGTTGTTGTTTAAGATAATTTATATTTTCTTGCCATTTATTCGTTGAACATTGTACACATGATATTGTAGATAACTTATTAACTGATAATAATATACCATTATTTGAATACAATATTAATAATGAACAGAGAAGGAAAGAATGTGTAGTGAATCATAAGTGAAAAGGATAGGAGCAAAGATCATATTTTTGGGTACGAGAAAAAAAAACAGAAAGCATTGGCAATGCAAAGCGTGAAAAAACAATAATTTAATCGACAAACACCTGATGATATTCTCGAGCTAGTATTGGGTAGAGTAACATAATTATTCTTAGTACCATTTTGTTTAACTTTTAATGTTTCAATTTCATTTTGATAATTAGCTAATTCAATAGCTAATTCGGCTCGAGTATTTGAACCATAGATATCAATTAATGCATCAAGTTTACGCCATAAAACTTGATTAACATATTTTTGTCTTGCTAATTCTTTGCGTATAACGATTACTTGATTGTGTAATTCAGTTATATTAGGTGATTTTTCTGTTAATTATATACCCAAGTAGAAGAATAAATTTATTTTTTTAAAAGTTTTTCAAAGCGAAAGGAGCAGAGCTAATTGCTCGTATCTATTTTATCTACTTTTAAATGAGAGATATAAATGAAACTTACGTGCTAATTGTTGATTTAATTCTTCATTAAGTTGTAAAGCCATATCAAGTTCATATTGAAGTTCTTCACGATTTAAATGAGCATAATTTTTCAATTGAGAACGAGCTAGAATTCAATAAAGAAACAAGACAATCAACAATGCTTTTAATACGTTAATTATGAGATTCACAAATAAGCAAGCTAAAGTTTATTTCGTTCTACCATTTGTCAACCTGAAGGCATCTATTATGCACTGTAAAATATTAAACTGAAGCAAAATATTCTTACAGATAGAATGATGAATGTTTAATTGAAAGACACTGTGTCATTGTCTAGTAACGGTGTGTATGTACAAATTTCTTTTATAAGCTCATCAATCAAAACCGAGAATTTTTCACTGTATAAAATAAGATCCTTGAATTAGAATCTTAGACTAAGAATAAACATAGTATGTATCATTCATGAGATACTAACAAAAATTATTAAAGGTCTCTGATTACTAATATGTAGAATATTAGAAAAGCAGTCTGTGTCTATGAGACATGTTTTTAGAAATATCAGATTCATTGGATGTACTACTGAAGAAAATGAAAAATCGTTCGAATCGTAAATATAGATACTCATAAAGTCAAAATAAAAAATTCATGAGATTTGTAACACTATGTAGTCCTTTGATCATTTTACTACAAATCATCGTAAATACGTATACGGTATTAGAACTCAATACCGTCATCAAGAATATTCAAAAAGTATCGCCAAAGCAATTATTTGATTCAAATACAAAAAATCTCTTGTAAACATGAAGAGTATGGTTTAAGGCGATGTTTAAAAACAGTGATTATCGTTTTTAGAATGCACTTATGAGATGAATATACTAGAGAAATCTTACAGTGATTTGCCTCGATATAAAGAAAGAAAGAAAAAAGCAACATACTATGTATTTCCACTGGTCGAGCATATTGAATAGAAGATGAGATATGCTAAAATTAAAAATAATTGAATCAAATTTATATAATATTGTTAAACATACTTGATTAGTTGAAGATTGAACTCTAACAGCATTATCTAATTTTTGTTTAAGTTCATTAATTAGCTAAAACATATATAAGAATAAATAACAAAACAAAATATTTTGCATATTTACCTCATCTCTCTTTTGAAGCTCTAATTTCCATGAACTGTCTGTAGGAGCTGGTGCTCCTACTTTTTCGTAAGTTTTTACAGCTATTTGCTTACGTAATGAATCAATAGTTTGATCCCGAATGTCTAAATCAGCTTTATATTGTTTCTCCATTTGCTATTAAACAAAAGAAAATTATCAGTGAATAATAAAAAATATGACTCACTTCATAACGAAGTTCTATGCGATTATAATCATTCTGAACACTATTATAAGTATGATGAACTTCTTTTAATTCTTTATCACAATCAGCAATAGTATGTTGAAGACCCTAAAATACAAGCAGAAGAAAAAAAATCCGAGTTATAGAATTTTTATGTTTATTTATTTTATTTATTTAATAGAGTAACATATGCGCATGTGTAAATATATAAGAAAAGGAAGAATGAGAATAAAGTTGATGTTTGTTGCTGGTAGAAACTAGATAATTATCTTGTTCTGTTGCTTTGAACTGGTGAAATAGTTTAAATTTCCTTTTTTTTCTTTCTTTCCGTTTATACTAGAAAGCATATGTAAAAAACCGCACACTGTTCTTTTGCATCAATCAAAAATTGATACACATGTAACAATCTCCGTGTCAGTTAGAGAACAAGCGATTTAATCTATATTTATTTTTATACTCGATATAAATCAATCTTACGTACCTGTATTGAATCTTCACGTTGTCGAAGTTGAAGTTTAAAATCTTCGATAATGGTTTGTAGATGAAGAATTTGTTGTGATGCTGTATTTGGATTCTAATTTGGAAATAATAAAAATAAAAAACGAAATCAATTTGATTTCTTTTTACTGGAATTTCTTGTAATTGTTTTTTTAATGTTTTAATCTCTTGTAAATAAATCTAGAAGAAGAAAAAGAGTATATATTTATTGTTTTTTTTTATTAGTTTAATTCGACGAACTTCATTCTTTTCTGCAGCATAACGATAATTAATAAGTTCACGTTGTTGAGCCTTAATAAAAAGAAAGAAAACATTGAGAAGATAATAAAATTTATCTTACTTCAGAATTTTGTTTCAAGCTATGATCAAGATCAACAATTTCAAGTTCTCGATCACGAATAATTCCTTGTAATTCACTTATATTACGTTGATATTCAGTAATATCGAATTTTTTATCATTTGCAACTTGTTCAATTCGTTGATCACGTGTATGAACTTCTTTTTGTAATACTTGAATTGTATGAATATTATCACTATCAACCTAATTGAAATATTTTGTTGTTTGTAAAAAGAAACAAACATAGAAAATTTTACTCGTTTAAGACTTTCAATATCTCGATCTTTTTCTCGTATTGTATGAGTATAAGTTTGAATAGAATGTTCTTGTCGTTCAATTTCTTGTTCTAATTGTTCAATTCGAATCTAATATGCAAAACAAATCAAATAAAAATCAAATTGATTATTTTTAACAATATACTTCAAATTTTAATCGAATATCTTCTGGTTCATATTGAAGTTTCTAAAATATAATTATAATTTTATTATATAGTCAATTTTAACAAGAAAAAAAAGTATACTTTAATTAAATTATCTCTTTCACGAAGTTGTACTTCAAGGTCATCAATCTAAATAAAATAATTTTTATCAATAAACGACATAGAAATCTTGTATAGTTCATTTTTAGACAAGAAAAATTATAAGCATGAGTCTATCATAAAAAGTCCTTGTACATAAAAGCATTTACTAAATTTCTTATGAGAAATATTAGGAAGGAAGAATTTTTTATGATTTCTATTCTTTTGATAATAGACGAAGGTTGTTTAAATTCTGATTGGATTTTTCTTTTATGTCTCCGGTCAAGTTAAAAATAGATCTTGATAAAACTCGAAGATCAATTTCATTGAAAACGTTTTTTAAATGATATACTAATTGGAATTTTCATAATATCAACAAAGGATTGTCCAAGAGTTTTACTCATTTCATTGATACTTTTTTTTTATAGAATTTATTCTCTCCTACAAAAAATCTATAACGATCGATTTAAAAAATAGAAACTTGTTACCGCTATATCAATTAGCTTTGCTTAAAAATTCTTATAAAATATGGTCGATTATGAAATAGGTAATAGCAATGGTAATAGGAGAAAGAAAAATTTTATTTAATTCTCACGGCGGAACTACCCGAGGTATCATCTTCCATGTAAGGTCATAGTGTAGATAGAAATCCTAAAATGGTTCGTTCTCAAATCTTGCTGTTGTTTAAATATTGTATTTTTAAGTTATTAAGGTAACTGATTGCCGTGATAGTCCTTCGAATTTCAACTTGAAACTGTAGAAAGTGATGTCTCAATGAAAGTAGTTTATTGTGAAAGCTTTAGTTGTCCTGAATACTCCTAATGGAAAATATGAATACCAACACTAGCTTTTGAAAGTAACAGCAAGTAGCACTAGATTATCGTAATCGTATCTTCGGATAGGAAAAAGAGGTAGGTCTGAAACTTTACAAAATTTCAAATCGATATTCGAAAATGAGTTTTTATGATGTCCTTGAGGAGAACCACGGCAGTCAGCTATGCCCTGACACCTTAAAAACACGATATCTCAATAAGAGCAAGATTTGGGAAAGAACCCTTTTAGAGTTTCTGTCTACACTATGAGCTGAAACGGAAAATGTAATCTCGGGTGGTTCCCTCGTCAGTGCATACTGCACAACTATCACAAAAATAGTTTTACCATATCTCGTTTTCTTATTGATCGTCAATAGTAAGAGCGATCTTCTAATACGCTGTTATATCACGGGGTTCTCTTTTCTAATTCGAGTTTTTGTAGTTACATACCGATCTCGACGATCTTCAACTTCAAAACTATATCTACTTTATCGGAGAACGAAGTTTTCCTTTTTTTTTTTTAGTGAAACCTTGACTGCTAGGAGTGAATCGGAATAAATGATTTTTTCTAATCGAAAAACAAAAACGTAAGGAAACTTGGTTCTCCAATTAACCAAACCTTGGAATTAAAGCCCATCTTGATCTATATACAGCTGCAAAAACTCGAATCGATAAACGAAGGATGAGATACACAAATAGCAATATAAAATATGAGTAAAAAATCATAGTTTCTATTTTTTTTACATACTGTTGCAATATATTCAGCAATATTTTGTTGATCCAATCGATATCGATCATATTCGCGTTGATATTTATCATTAGATTCCAAAAGTTTGTTTTTATCTTGACGAAGTTCATTAATTGTTCTTTCATACTAATTTAAAATACAAAAATTATTTGATAAAAAAAACTAATTGAAATTTACTTGAATTAATTGTGTTTCAACTGATCGATATTTATTTTCAAATTCCTAAAATAAATACGATAAATTATTATTCATAATTTATATTTTTTAAAATGTACTTGTAAACGATCAGTTTTGATTTTTAATTCACTGGTATATGTACGAGATATTTCACGTTCAATATCTTCATTTTTGCCTCGAACTATATTCAATTCTTGTTTTAAACGTTTAATATCAACTTCATATGTCTAATAGACAGAAAAAAAAGAAAGTTCAGTTTTGATTCTATAAAATATAATAATAATACAAACATTAATAGTTTCATTTGCTTGTTTCAAACTATATTCTACTGTTTGTAATCGATCTGCAACCTATACAAATCATTTGAATTACAAAAATATATTCACGGAATTAATAAATTACTCACACGTGCTCGTTCACGACTCATTTCTTCGAGATCATATCGTATTGTTTCATTTTCATTTTGAACATTCTATAATATAATGAAATAAATAGAAAACTAAAACTTTATTTTATTTACTTGAATTTCATTTTCTGTACGAGTAGTTATTTGACGATACTAAAAGAAGAATTAATTATATAAATGAACAATAAGAAAACAAATTTTTACTTTTTCTTCATATTCTACTTGAATTTGTAGACGAATTTGTATTGAAAGTTCATCCATTTCTTGTTTAAGTTGCTAGATATATAATTATTCGTTTTATTTTTATAAAAAAAATATAAATTTCATTTACAGCATTTTGTTGATTAATATTTTGATTTTCTACTTCAACTTGTTCTCTTTCATATTGTATAGTACTAAAATCAGTTTTTACACTTTCATATTTACGTTTCCATTCCTAGAATAGTATTCATATTAATAAAAGTTAAATTATTAATTCTAATTTATTTTACATTAACTTCACGAGTATAATCATCTTTTTCCCGTAATAATTCCTGAATATCACGTTGTAATTTAACAATTTCATTTCGATTTCGTTTGTCAACACTATCCGTATCTTGAATTCGATATTCATAATTCGATACTTTAGATTTAAACTAAATACAACCGAAAAAAACATGAATTCGAAATTCTATATTAATTTACCTCGTCATTTCTTCTTGTTAACTCATACACTTTATTTTCAAATTCACGTGCATTATCTTTAAGTGTCTGTAAAATAAATGAAGTTTTATGAAAAAAAAAATAAAATAATTTTTTACTTTATTTTCTTGTCTTAAAGTTTGTACTTCAACACTGGAATGATCTTTTATCTATAAGAAACAAATAAAATATTGTTTAAATACTTAGATTAGTTATTTATTTTATCTAATTCTTCTGCATTTTAATACAATCACTGAAAAGTTAGAATACAGACTGACATATTTGGTAATATACCTTACATCAATTTTACTTTGATAGATATTTTTTTACAACGACCCTCATATAATTTTCAATGCGATTATCATCAGTCATGGAAAGATGTTTTACTTTTTATAACTAAACTTTTTTAATGATTATTCTATCTTTAGAATACAACGTCTGTTGATTATTAAAAAAATTTCTTACTCGATCATATTCAATTTGAAGTTCACTGTATCGTCTACTTGTAGTATTTAATGAATTTTGTATTTCAATAACTTTATCTTTTTCAAACTAAAAGAATTTATTTATTGTTAGGTTCAGTAAAAGAAAAAATAAATTCATATTTACATCTCTTTCTCGTTCAAGTTGACGTCGTTCCTAAAATAATTAAATAGAATTATTAAGAATAAAATTTATAATCGAAAAGAAAACTTACATTATGAAATCTAGTTTCTATTTCACGAATTTGTAAATTGAATTCTTCAATTTGTCGTTTTTGTTGCTATTGAAACAAGAAAATAAATTAAAATAGTATTTAAAAAGAAAACAAGATTTTACCTGAATTTCTCTTTCCATTTGTTCGAATTGACCTTCAGTTGATATTGTCTACAAAAAATATTAAGCAATAGAAATTCACAAGCAAAAAACATTGAATCATTTAAACTCGACGAATTCTCTGCTCCTACTAACAAGTATTAGATTTAAACCTAAAGGATTACATACAACTTTTTCATATTTGCTTGTTAAAACACCATATCGACTTCGTTCATCTGCCAATTTTTGTTCAAGATCAACACGAATTTGATTAGCTGTCTAGAATGATAAAAATTATTGCAATGTAATATTTCATTCTATTAAGTCTAGAAATAATTCTTTTTGAACATACTGATAAACTATCTCGCTTGAATGTCAAATTCATGAATAGAAAAAAAGAGTTTGACAAAAATATAATCACAACTAAGTTGGATTTAATTTCAATGCTTAAGTAGAATTTATCGAACGTAGATTTTACTAAACAATTCTATCACAAAAGCGACTTTTTTCTATTTGTCGTTATGATGTAATAATAAATTTGTAGTTATATTTAAGTTCTTCCTACACAACACATACCTGAAGTTGACTGTGAAGATTTTGCTTTTCCTAAATGAACAAGTGAAGAAATTACTTTTTTCTAAGAATAATAAACATACTTGTACATGAACGTTATCAAACTTTTCATAATCTTTTCGTGTTTGTACTCGTACATCACCTACTTCAGTTTCGATTTCACGTATGTGACGATCACGATCTTTAATCTAAATTTACAAAAAAAATATCAGAAAAATAATGATGACTTAATTTATAATCATTTTATACTTGTCCTTGTAGAGTTTGAATTTCACGTTGTAAAGTTTCGATTTTTAGCGAAAATTCTTGACGAATACGCGTTTCGATTTCTTGTTCACGTCTTCCGAATTCCTATAGAATAATAATATATAAACAAAAAATTGTTTATAGAGAAAAATGAATATTCAGGGGAACTAAACGAACTCCACAATATTGAATCATTTAAACTCGGCAAATTCTCTATTCCTGCTAACAAGTATTACACGTAAACGTAAAGGAATTTGTTTCAGCTTAAGTAACAACCAAACGGTAATTCTATCATTATTATCTCCTAGATTTTATTAATATTCAGTACTCTCTAATAAATAATGCGATACATACAACTTTTTCATATTTGCTTGTTAAAACACCATATCGACTTCGTTCATCTGCCAACTGTCGTTCGAGATCAATACGAATTTGATTAGCTGTCTAGAATGATACAAATTATTGTAGTGTAATATTTCATTCTATTAAGTCTAAAAATAATCCTTTTCGAACATACAGATAAACTATCTCGATTGAATGTCACATTTATAAATAGAAAAAAAGAGGTTGACAAGTATAATCACAACTAAATTGTATTTAATTTCTATGTTTAAGTAGGATTTATCGAACGTAGATTTTACAAAAGAGTTCTATGGATTAGTATCACAAAAGCGACTTTTCTTCATTTATCGTTATGATGTAATAATGAGTTTCTAACTATATGTAAATTCTCTCTACATAATACATACTTGAAGTTGACTATGAAGATTTTGCTTTTCCTAAATAAACAAGTAATGACATTACTTTTTCTAAGAATAATAAACATACTTGAATATGAACATTATCAAATTTTTCATAATCTTTACGTGTTTGTACTCGTACATCATCGACTTCAGTTTCGAATTCACGTATAAGACGATCACGATCTTTAATCTAAATTTACAAAAAAAATATTTGGAAACATAATAATGACATAATTCATAAGCATTTTATACTTGTCCTTGTAAAGTTAGAATTTCACGGTGTAAACTTTGAATTTCACGTTGTGAAGTTTCAATTTTTAATGAAAATTCTTGACGAAGACGAGTTTCGATTTCACGTTCACGTCTTTCGAATTCCTATAGAATAATTATATATAAATAAAAAATTATTTATAGAAAAAAATGAATATCCGAGGGAACTAAATAAACTTCACGATATTGAATCATTTAAACTTGGCAAATTCTCTATTCCTGCTAACAAGTATTAGATTTAAACCTAAAGGAAGTACATACAACTTTTTCATATTTGCTTGTTAAATCACCATATCGACTTCGTTCATCAGCCAATTGTCGTTCGAGATCAATACGAAGTTGATTAGCTGTCTAGAATGATAAAAGTACAAAAGATTCAAAATTATTGTAGTGTAATGTTTCATTCTATTAAGTCTAAAAATAATCCTTTTCGAACATACTGACAAACTATATCGATTTAACGTCACATTTATAAATAGAAAAAAAGAGTTTGACAAATATAATCCCAACTAAGTTGGGTTTGATTTCAATGTTTAAGTAAGATTTATCGAACGTACATTTTACGAAAGAATTCTATAGATTACTATTAAAAAAAGCGACTTTTTTCCATTTATCGTTATGATGTAATAATAAGTTTTTGGTTATATGTAAATTCTTTCTACATAATACATACTTGAAGTTGACTATGAAGGCTTTGTTTTTCCTAAATAAACAAGTAAAGACATTACTTTTTTCTAAGAATAATAAACATACTTGTATATGAACGTTATCAAATTTTTCATAATCTTTACGTGTTTGTACTCGTACATCATCTACTTCAGTTTCTATTTCACGTATGAGACGATCACGATCTTTAACCTAAATAGAATAAGAAATATCGGAAACATAATGATGAAATAATTCATAATCATTTTATACTTGTCCTTGTAGCGTTTGAATTTCACGTTGTAAAGTTTCAATTTTTAATGAAAATTCTTGACGAATACGAGTTTCGATTTCTCGTTCACGTCTTTCAAATTCCTATAAAAGAATTATATATAAATAAAAAATTGTTCATAGAAAAAGAAGAATATCCGAGGGAACTAAACGAAATTCAAAATATTGACATACGAATAAATTCTAGTATATTCTCATACCCAGGACGAACAATCCAAGTGGAAGAGTTCGACCTGATTAGTTTTGGCAATAGTTCCTATATTGAGCGATTTGGCTAAAATATGTCTCAAGTATTTTTTACGATCTATTCAACTCTCTATGTAATAAGTTTGTGTAAGTTAAAAAAAGAAATCTTTATAATTGGCTTAATTTTTAATAGAAATATATTGGTCTATTATTTTTACTTGACTATGATTGTTTCTTTCGTTGAGCTGAAGTTGTAATTGATTGGCTTTTTGTTGCCACTAAATATAAAATAAATTTCTATATTCATATAACATTTTCAAAATAATTTACTTCATCACACTCTCGTAAAATTTGTGCAATACGATTTGTTAGACCCGAAACATTTTCTGCATCACTTTGAAGTTGTAATGTTATATGAACAACTGCTGTTTGAAGAGCCTATCGAAAAAAAAACGAATTAATTTCAATGATACAAAAACAAAACTAATATAGTATACTTGAATTTGTTCGGCATCTTCGATATTATCACTAGTCTAAAATGATCAGATATGTATATTTATAAAGAAACAATTAATCGAAAGTAACCTTAGCTGGTGTTGGTAATGGGCGAGGTAAAGGAGGTAGCTATTGAATAAAAAATAAGTTTTGAAATAAAAGATAAATTATGATTTAAATACTTCAGGATTTCGAATTGGTGTATTGATAAGATAATGTAAACTTTCGATTTGACTTCGTAAATGTTTTTCACTTTGTCGAAGTTCAATACATTCAGCTCGTAATTGCTAAAAGAACATCAATATAAATTGAAATGAAATAAATACTATTTACTTCAACAGTTGCAAGATGAGTTTGCATTTGAGTATTTAATTCATGAATTAAATGTTGACTTTGCTAAACGAAGAATAAAGGGAAATGATAAGAATATCTTTATTTGAAATTTAACTAACTTCATCTTTCCATTCTGATGTTGCTGTTTGTGATGGAAGCATCAATGTAAATGGTGTACGTAAACGAATTGTTATTTCATTAATTGCTTCTTCAAGTTGCTATTTTATTTCAATAGATATATTTCATTATATTCATTTTTTTAAGAATAAGATCTTACTTCAATTATTCGATCTCGCTGCATAATTGCTTGATGATATTCATCAATATTAATATTTGAATTTGCTCGATCATGCTATTTAAAAATAATTAATTACATATGTTATTTATTAATTAAATCATAGCTCCCTTTATTATTTTTTAAAAAATATAGTAGAATATATTAGGAATAATGTGAAAGGTTTATCTTCTTGGTTGATAAAGCAGAGAGAATAAGCAAATATCGTGAGATATTATAATGTATGTGGGCAAAAAAATAGCTTGATTGAGCATGTGATAATAAGCATCCTTTGGTATTATAGATAACTGGACCGTAGTCAGTAGTGTGAAATGGGAAAAAAATGTGTAGCTAAAAGCTGGGATATTAAGCGATATGAATACAAACCAATGGATAAGTAAAACGAATTCGAGCAATTAATGGCTAAAATAAAATATTTTTTATCGTTTATATATATACATGAATTCTTAGGATTTGTAAAGTTATCAATACAAAGAGGATAATACGGGACAAAGACATAACGTACTAGGTGTCCCGTATAGCCGGTAATTTGTCGGGGTGTTCGGAATTGATTTTTTTTACTAGTAGTCCGTAAAGAGTGTAGGTGGGTGTGTCTAGTATGAGAGAAGAGTGGTTTATACACCCACCAGAACACTTTGCTTGTTTAGAATTTTGTCATTCTGAAGATTTTGTATATTTTTATGCGTCGGGAAATCGTAAAAAAAAGTTGGTGCGTTATGTCTCTTTCTCGAAAATATTCTTTATCATAAGGGATTTCTAAAGCCATATTTCCATCCATTGCGAAGATATTTTTATTACATAGAAAGAGCCCACATACTAGTATCAGATCGAGAACGTATCACAAAACTAAATCTTAGTCCATAAAAAACCTTCCCTCAAAAGCGAAGACCTTCCAAGAGTGGGTCTAATATAATGACAAATTCCTTTAGTTTCTTAATTATAGAAAACAATAGCTTTTTTGCAAGTAATCTATCATGTTATTGAAAAAGAAAATGCAATGTTAAGATTAAGTATAGAAAGCTTCTAATGTATGATGTAAAGCAAAGTAATTAGTTTCTCGTTACTAAAACTAAACTAGGAGGATTTATAATATTAAACTGTACCTCTTGTTGATGATTTTCATAATTGGATGTTTGTTGTCCTTGTTGGCCAACCAAGCGCTTAAAACAAAGAATCGAAATTTACAAGAAATAATCTATTTTTTTATTTATTTTACTGCAATTTGATCTTCATAATCAATTTTCAAACGTTGTAATACACGTTCAGCTTTTGTTTGTTGTTGTTGGTAATTATTAATTTCAATTTCATACTGTTGAATTTGTCGACGGGCTTGATCTAATTCAGTACGAATCTATTAACAAAAAAATTATATTTCTTCACTGAATATCATTTTTTTCGTTTACTTTATTTGTATCATTATTTTGTGGTAACGATGAATTTAGTTGCTGTAAAAACATGTTGTTAAATTATAAAATAATATTTTTTTTTGTTTGTATTCTTACTTTTCGTAATGAATCAATTTGTTCTTGAAATTTTCGTTCTCGTTCTTTATATTCATTTATTTCTGTTTGTAAATTATTCGTATTTAAATATGTACTTGACATTCCAGATGTTGTTCTGTCTAAAGCAGAATCAATAGATGTTGATGTTTGAATACTTTGACCAACAATGGGTGTTGTGAATTTATCACGTATATCACCATGATTTTTACTACTATTTAATTGTAATGATTGTCGAAGTAATTCATTTTCTTTACGAAATTTTTCAAGTTCTTCTCGAAATGCACGTCGTTCATCATCATAATCAAAATTATAAACCGTTGGAAGACCATCACTTTGCGTTGATTGAGAAAAAACACTTGAAAAAAAAATGAAAAAAATTTTTCGAGGCCAAATATTTGTCATTTTGAAAATAAAAATATGTACAATGTAAGAAAAGAACTTTTGTAATGAATTCTCTTTACAATACTTATTATCAAATAATCCCTACTTTACTTTTAGAAAATAAGAAAAACTTAAGATATACCATCTGAACATTATCGAATTGAATAGTACCTAATTTTATTACTATGAATCGATAATTACGTACAATAGATAAAAGAAAAAATAATGACCTTGAAAAATAAAATAAAGAATTTTTTAATTTGTTTTCTCAACAACTATTGGTAATATGAATTTATTATGTCATTTATTCAAATAACGATAAATCATATAGTTTTGTTCAATAGAGAATGATATCATTCAATAGGGTCATTGACATCGATTAAGATATGTATACTTAAATGCTATTAACTCAGAATATAATCATATTAACATACCGTCGACGAAGTTGTTCAATTTCACTTTCTAATTGATTTACATAAGTCTAAATAGATGAAAATGAAATGACAATAATAAATTTTGAAATAATCTTACTGTTCGTGTTGTATTTTCATTAGTATTTGTCGTACCCGGTTGATGTTGTTCTTCAAGGAAATAAATACGTAATTTTAAATTGAAATTTTCTCGTTTGAGATCTTGAACTTCCTAAAATAATATATTCATTAATTAGAAAGATTTTTTCAAAATCGTTTTCATCTAACCTCCTCTGCCATCTTGTGGTTTATCTCTGAAGTGTTATACTACCACACCGAACACATTATAGATATAAAAGCATGCACATATACATTGAGATATCTTCTCTATTCTTCTCTCTCTCTCTCTCCTCCTCCTCCTCTCTCTTTCTCACGATCGGCGAATGCATGATACATGATATAGCGAGGCCAATAAAACCACCGATATCAAGCGTAAAAATACCTTTGTTGTTCGTTGAAAAGGAGAAAACGAGGTAATATGACATAAATATATGTATATACACATATATAGACATCCACGATAAAAGAAGAAAAGGATGGAATGTGTCAATATATATTTTAAAAGGAGGAAAAAAAATTTCATATGAAAGAATTTAATCTGTCATTTACAGGGTCATGCGAAACGATTAGTATAGAGAAGAAGAAGAAGGATTTAAATATACATCTATCTTTCTTTGCATTTTCATAGTCCTTCATCATATTTTATGTCAATATAAAAATATTGAAATTTTTTTTATCGATATCTAATTAAAGTTATGATTTGTAGTTATTTATTTCTTTGAAAAATATTGATCTATTTATTATCCTTCAAATAATATCACATGAATTTTTGCTTTTTTTTCTTTTCTTTTTCTTTTCCAACTAAATCGATTTATGAAAGCTTCTTATCAATTTTCTTTTTTTTTTCAACAACCATCTATAAATCCTTTCTATCATAAACTTAACAAAGGAATGTAATAATCATTAAATAGAAATTCTCATTCTTACTCCATCTTAAGAATATCATAAAAGACAATCAAACTTTAAACTTCATTCAATTACATGTGATTGTTGATGTCCTTTTAGCAAATGTCTCGTTTTTTTTTCGTGTGGTTTATAAAAAACAAGAAAACTTTCATGTCTGATAGTTTGTCAGTAAGTAAAACAGAAGGTATTGTAAATTCATAAAATTGTTTGTAACTAGTAGAATAAAACTATTCTACGCATTTTTATGTTCTATAAAATTTGATAAATACTATCGTTATAAAAAAAAACAAATATACTTTGGACTTATCTCAGCTTAACAATAATTTCGTAGAATTACTATTAAGTATGCAACAAACAATTTTATGTATTTCATAGAATTGTTTTTTGTCATATGAACTCACTAGTTTTGATTTGCATTTCAATTGATCTATGCAACAAATCATGATAATAATTACAGATTGAAAGAAGTATTCTGTATATAATCAAGAAATTTGTTTAAGTATGGATCAGCAATTAGATGAATATCAGACTTGTCTATTTTATTTAGGTTTTAACAAAATTAGGCATGCACTGGTCCTATAAAGTCGATGACAAACATGAATAATTTTTACTATGTAAAACACCCAGTCATTTAAACTCACTATCGATCAGACTATACAACGGTATTGTTAAACTTTGAAAAATAAAACGGTAAAAAAGGATTCGGGGTGACTGGTAAAAAAAAGCGAAAACTTCCGATGTTTTACCAGTCACCCTCAGTCCTTTTTTCTTCCCCGTCTTATTTTTCAAAGTTTAACAATAGCGTTGTATAGTCTAATCGATAGTGAGTTTAAATGGCTGGGAGTTTTATATAGCAAAAATTATTCCTCTTTGTTATTGACTTTATAGGACTGGTGCATACCCAAATCGAAATAAGGCTGATTTCAAAGAAGTGATGATTTACAGTAGTCGAAGCATTTAAATATCGAGATAGCTATCGAAACTCATAAGTTTAGACTGCATCCACCAAAATCATCGTACTCAAAGATTATGAGAAGTCCCCATGACATTTTGATTCTTTAGTCTTGAAATGGCTAATCAGTGTTTATTTCAAAGTTGCCAACGAGCACGGCATAACTACCATTTCAAATATTTCTTACAAAATCAGATATCAATAACCTTGTCGGGCTGATCTCTTGATCAGTCGAACTCTACAAAACTTAATTTTTGAGAAATACTCGGCGTAGTATATATATATGAAAAGCTAATATTCATTTATTGAATGATTTCTACAATATTAAAAAGAAAATATCTTTTGTTCCAATAGCTTATCACTCGTTCCTGTCAACGGCTTAAAAAATCATTGAAATCCGACTACTATTCATCAATTAAATATGCTATTTCTTTACTATTATTGATGCACAAATGTTTGCTATTTTCATTCATATGACTTCAATAAATGTTGTTTTAACGTACTATAATCGATTTTACGAGAGAAAAACGATGTCCTTTATATTTCAATGAAGGATTAGGTATAAGAATTGTATTAGATTTAATTTCATACATAACATATCATATTCCGAAAATATATTTAGAATTTGAAATAAAAGTTCATCTAGTATTTCATAGTCCACAAAAAAAATGAGAGTGATCACTTAGATGATCAGATTAACGTACTTATACTAAATAAATCTAAGAGTTAATATAAACAATGAACTACTATATTTAGTTTTATTAGTATGATAAGAAGTAAGAAGGATTTTATTGTTCACCTGAGAAAATTATTTGAACTAATTAGAAACAAAAATATAAGACAAAACTTTGATCATTTAGAAAATCAATTACATACTTTATCATAATCACGAACTGTTAATGCTGGAGTTGAACCAAGTTCAGATAATGGTGTACTTGTATTTGGAGTTTCTGGAACTATTAATAGGCGATTGTCGATATAAAATTAAAATAATAAATAGTAATACCTTCTGATTCACGGGCATAGGTCATGTCTGGAGTAGTATTATCCATAATGATAATACTTAATTATGGATCACTAGAAAAAATTATTACAATGAATTACCGCTCGTTATAATCGATCGATTGTTGCTAATAACAACCTCATCATCGTACGTTCTTAGTTGCTGTATTATTAATTATTTAAAAAGATAATATAGATTTTTGTAATATTAAAACGGATGTATTTCTTTTTTCTTCTTTAAAGAGATTTTATAAATATTCTTTTATGAATAGACTAGATGGCGCTATTTTGCAATTTATTCATTTTATGATATTACTAAACAAATGTATTATTCATTTATATCGGTACTAAAAAAATGTTTGAAATCTATAATATAGAACATTTTTGTATACTTTCAATAAATATGTTCTCTAAAGAAAAAGGTGATAGATATTCAAAGAATCTTACCTGTGTACTTGTGTTAATATCTGTATATCTTTAAATATCATTTACATTCATGATATTCGTTATCTGTTGGGGTTTCTATTTACTTGACGGATATACTTTTTCATTTGTGTCACATATTCGTTTTTTTCTGTTGTAGTTAAAAAAAGAACAACAATGGCAATACGACTGTTATGCTTTTTCTTTTTTCCTTTGGCATCATTATCGTTGTCGCCTTGTATAAAATACTATCATATCCTTTCTTAGCTTGGAATGGAAGTCAGAGAGAACAAAAAAAGGCAGGTAAGAAGACAACACACAAAATAAAACATGTGTCTGTAATGAAGTTTAATAAGCTGATTCAATATCTTATTGAAATATTTTGTACAAGAAAGAATACAATGATTTATTCTAAAAATATTTCTCAATTATAATCGCGATGAAAAAAACAAGTTTATTTCAAAATCGGAATATCTAATTATACAATATAGTAAAGAACGCTTGTTTACTTCAGAAGTAATTTAATACGAGATTGTTTTCTATTCCCAGACAGATGTACAGTAAAGTTGTTCAAGTGATTTCAAGATAACTCGAACTGTTTGACCTATAGAATCTATAGCGATTGACCATTGATAAAGCATTATTTTAACTTCTTCATTATTATTTAAATCAACTGTTGGAACAGTTGATGTCGATAAATTCTTTCTTGTTTTTTTCATTTTTGTTTGATTTCTATCTGTTGTGAATTGTTCCTAGTAGAATTGAAAATATTTATTAAGAAAAATAAATTTTTGTTTATATTACCATTGTAACTCTATTGATATTATTTATAATAATTTCAATTAATTGATCAAATGTTGTTGGTTTATCTTGTTTCATTTCTTGAATAATATTATTCAATGGTGTTAATGCTTGTTGTGTTATCATATTAAATAAATAATTATCATATCGTTCAGATTTACTTAAAACTTTTACAAATTTATCAGTAACATTTTTTAATGTTAAAAATATTCTTTCGATTATTTGAATATTTAAATTTGGATTTAGATTT